ATGCAGTGCTTTGTAAGTGTTCAGATATCTGTATGTATTGATGGTAAAGGGGTATATAATACATACCACTGTGGCATAAAAATTATTTTCAACTGGAAGTAGTTGAGAATAGGCTTTTTTCCCCCTGAACTCCCTTATCTGCCTAAAGCAGAGCCTCTCAGAATCAGTTGTCATAAGTTTGCTCCCCAGAGTTTTGAGACAAGGGAAATTCAACTCTCATCAGTAGAGAGAAGAGAGGAAAAGTGGTTACCACGTCTAAATGGCATTTGTCACAGAAAGATCATATTTTCTATCTATTCACTTAGGGATCCTTTTATCTTTCCTAAAAGTTTTCCTTTAACTGCCCTTCTTCCCCTCCATTTTTCCTACTAAAATGGTATATAAGTCCGAAATTCTGATGGCCTTGAATCACATTTTTCTGTAAACTCTGTATTTTCTCTTGCTAATCTGTCTTTTGTCAGTTTAATTTGCAGGCCCCCAGCTTCAGAATATAAGAGGGTGTATATTTGTTTTGAATTTATATTCTGTAGGGGAGAAGTCTTTTGTCAGTTTAATTTGCAGGCCCCCAGCTTCAGAATATAAGAGGGTGTATATTTGTTTTGAATTTATATTCTGTAGGGGAGAAGTTTTTTCTCCCTGACAATGGCGAGATTGATTGTTTCTGGCTGTTAGGACAAGGGATAAGAAACAAGTGAAGTTCCTCTGTATAAAAACAAATTTAAGTATGTATTTCAAATATAAAGGGTATAAGTCAAAATTTTTTAAGCTATATTTTTCAAATTGTATTTCTCAAAATTTTGTTAGATGAAGTAGAATATACTATTAGAGAGGCACCCATCTCTCCCTGAATATATTCCTACAGTAATGCTATTTTGTTGAGTGGCATAACTACTCTGATTGTATTGACTAAGCCTTTATTCTTCCTAAAGTTATTCATTGTTTCTCTTCTTTCTTACCGTCTTATTAATTTGCATAAAAGATAGTTTGTGGTTTGTCACAGGTTGCCCTGTTCACATCACTGAGAAGAGACAAGAGAACAAAGTAAACTCTTTGTACAAAGGTGCTAATATCTTTAAAGAATGAAGGAATCTTGATAAGACTACTATGGCTTTCTCTTATTTGCATTTCAGATAACCTGCAAGTGTCATTAAACCTTGAATTATTTGTATGTTTAGTTATCCACTTATATATTTATTGTGTTCTGTACTTTACTGGTTATTGTTTACTAGGTTTGTGACCTTTCACCAAAGTAAGTACTCTTTCTAAGCTTTATTTCCTCATACATTCAATGAGAATAATAATAGTCCTCTTTCACAGGGTTACTGTAAAGACTAAATGAATGAGTGCAGTTGAACACTGAACACTGTTCTTGTCACATTGGAATGCTTAATAAATGTTAATATAGGTGAATATTTGTGCAAGAGAAGTTGAGGTCACTTTTATCTTCAAAAGCATATTTGAATGGGTGCATGTATAGCAGTCCTGGAAAATTACGTCTAATTCCTATATCTTCTGAAGGTGTTACTTTTGTTCATATTAATATTTGAATTTGCAAAGTACTTCTGTATTTCAGTAGTACTGGAAAATTGACATAGGAGGTTTTGTTGCTTTCCTTCCTTTGTATTTATTTGTACCTCAAGAATCTGAGGCTAATGAAAGTTAATTGTTCTACCAAGGTCAAAAAAGTTAAGAGCAAAAAGTAAGTAGAAATCAGACTTTTCCTAGTTACCTAGAATGGGGACTAGGACCTCAGTTAAGTATAAAGTGGAGTCAAGAATCCAAGTTATAAAGAAAACCCAAGCACTTAGTGGCTCAAATCCTCTCCAGGACTTACTAAGATGTGACAGAAACCATCCAGAAGATTGAGGGGGTGGGAAATTGTGTGCAGTATCACAGCAGAAGCTAGTTTGTCTTTGGTGAGCACTGTAGTTCTTGCTCCTTTCTTCCTCCCTTGGGATGACCTTTCTTTAGAAGCTTAGTGTGGGGAGGTCTAAGAGAACCAGGGTAGGACTACTGGCAGAAAATGCAGTGGAACATTTCATTACCTAGATGATGGTCATTATGCAGCTGATTGGTTTATCTGTGCTTATTTGAGCAAGGGAGAAAGAAAATTGGAGAGAAATCTCAATATGGACAGAGGGCGTGGCAGTGAAACAGCCTGTATTTGTTTTGAATTTATGTTCAGATGGTTAATACAGAAGGTAACCAGGTTTCAGCCATCTTGACAGGGCTGGCTCTGATGGAGAAGGGAGCAAAAATAGAAGCAGTTGAGATGAAGCATATCTTTAAGTAGGGAAATGTGTCCCTCACCCCAGGAAAAAAGCCATCATTTTGGCTGCCTGTGATACAGACAGTATAGTCAGTATTAGGGAAGTAGTAACAACCACAAAAGTGCTCAGCTGCTGAGACAATTTACTCTCCCTCCCCACTAGATCAGACCACACCCCTTTCTTGGAGGATGGTCAAGCTTGAGTTTGGAGAGGAAGAGAATGATTGTAAGATTAAAGATGAAACTTTCACATAGTAGTAAATTGGAGTGGACTTTCTAATAACTAAAAGCTACTGGAAAGCTGTAGGAATTGTTCCAGATGTGATTCAGGGATAAAACAGGGAAATTGGACCAACAATAGTTGTGGGTAGAAACTGGAGAAAAATAACCTTTCTCATGTTTGTATCAATTTTAGACCCTCTATTAAAGTTTCATAAATATCAGCTTAAGTTCCTACTGAAACCTCTCTGATATCAGACCTCATTCTTTTCTCTGTATAAAGCTATTAGAATATTATATAGTCCTTACTGTATGTTGTTGATAGGTTCTGCAACTTGAAGGAAAACGACATATAACAATTTTACCATGGGCTAAATGATAAAAACAGGAGTTGTTTTTCTCCTTTTTTATTGAATTTATGGGGGTGACACTGTTTAACAGAATTATTCAGGTTTCTTATGACATCTCATCAACTTTATAATGATAGGACCTTGAATGAAACATTATTTGAGGAACTGCTGCTGTACAGGATCATTTAATCTTAATAGTTTTGTCTCCAAAGGTATCATAATTCTAATTAATACAATTTTAGTATTAGGCATATTTTATTTAATTCTAACTTTCAAATTTATAAATTGATAACCTTTTTAGTTGGACATTAAGGAAAATATCTTCTTAGTTGTTTTAAAAAAAGATTTTATTTGTTTTTAGAGAGAGAGGAAGGAAGAAGAAAAGAGAGGGAGAGAAACATGAATGTGAGAAAGAAGCGTTGATTGGTTGCCTCTATGCAGGGACTGAACCTGCAACCCAGGCATGTGCCCTGACTGGGAATCAAATGGTGACCTTTTGCTCTGTGGGATGACATCCGACCAACTGAACCACACAGATCAGGGCTTATTCCTTAATTTTTATGGAGCTGTTGGGGTTTATCAAACCTTGGAAATACTAAATAAAATAAAAAACAATAAAAGGCATTAGTTATATTTTATTGTATATGAGATTTTGAATTTATGAAGTTTTCATTTTTAGCCATTATTCACATAAAAAAGGTAAATTGGTTTAAAATAATCTAGAGTGATAAAATACAAGATTGAGGTGAATTGGATTGATCAGATGATACTCAAAATATTTTCCTTAGTATTTTGTGCCTGGCTCTGTTTTAAGTGCTTTATACATATTAACCCATTTACTCCTTACAAATATTCTGTGAAGTATTCAATAGATATTATCAGTTCCCTTTACATGATACATTTACATGAGAAAAATGAGGCTGTAAAGATTAAATAACTTGTCAAGGGTTGTACAGCTAGTAAGTGGCAGAGCTGGGATTCAAACCCAGGTAGTCTGACTTTATAGTCAGTGTTTTTAATCACAGAATTATATTCATTCTCAAATGAGTATGGTTATTTTAGGATGAGGTTGTATACTACACACAGGCGCATGCACATGCATACACACATTTTACTTTATTTTTGTCTGCTTTTATTCCATATTCTCCATGCAGAATAGATGAGTTTACCCGTGTTTGCTACCTGAGGTACCTGGTAAAACATCTTGATACAAGGTCTAGATAATATATTTGATGGGTTGAATTTGATTGACTTTTAAGAATTAACTTCTATTTTTAATATTTAAAGTTTGTTAGAAACTTTTCATGGGATACTCTGTGACTTGCCTAATGTTTCTTCTGTATTGTAGAAAAAAGTATTAAAAATGTCAGTGGAATACAGTTGCATTTTGAATGTTTATGCGTAACCCTTTCTATAAATATTTTTTAAATTAGTGTTCAATTATATATCTCATTTCTGATATATGTAACTTTAATTGTTGATAATGATCATACAGACAAGCTTTAATTTGTAGCTTTACCATGGCTATTATTTTTAAAGCTGTTGAAATTGGGTAGATATTTGCATAACCATGTTATTTGTAGTTCTTAAAATACATTTAAAATCTACCCTCTGAGAGAACAGGAAGAAGAAAAGATTTAAAATACTGCCTTATTAATTGAAAATGAAAGAGGTTCTATGGGGCAGTTTTTGAAACCAAACAGGTTGAGAAATGAAACCAGTTTTTTTACTGGTTTCATCATCATGATTTTACATCAATCATCATGATGCTGAGACAGTCTTCTGGGATATTGTTAAATTGTTTCTTGTTCCATAGAAATTATTTAAACATAATTTGTTATGTCATGTAGACATTGAAAATAACCTCTTTCTTTGCAGGTTTCTCTTCGAAACAAAACAAAAGCCTTTTTTGCCTCCTAATTATAAAAGTTAATGCTCACCATTTTAAACACAGAAAAACCCCAAGAAAAATAGTAAAAATCCCTCATATTCATACTACTCAAAGACAGCCTTTATAAAAATTTTGGTATATACAGTGTAAGTTAAAAAAAACTTACTAAATGTTTGTATCATAATTTAAGAATCTGAGTAAAGTAGGTGTCTTAAACTGACATTCTATTCATGCATTAAACCTGAATGGCTGAACCTGAAATTTAAGAATCTTAGAATTAAGGGAACAAGGAGGGGAGTTATCTAACTAGAAATAGAAATGAATTCACCAGTGTAGGTAGTGCACTACATTAGGGGCAGGTTTTTTGCTAAAACCACAAAGGGTCTTTGGCTTGGTGAGTGGAGTTTGGTAGTAATCCTTGCTACAAGTGAAAAAATAAAAATAAATGAATAGAAATAGAAAGGTTTTGAAATTTGATTAGTTATGTGATCATCTTTTTTTTCCAGTGTATTCTCCCTCCTTTTTTCATCTTTGCATCTTTAAAGCTTTAAAAAAAGTTAAGATGATGTTTCAAATTTGATGTTTTTCTATAATAACAGACAGAAATAGAATAAGATGTGGGGAGGTAGAACCTAAACTTAGGGAGGTCGAAAACCATATGGAAATAGTAAATTCAAAACCTCTAGCAGAATGAAGCTAGAAAGAATGGAATCTAAACACTGAAACTATACATCTGCTAGACAGCTGCGCATTCTTTATTCATAGGTTCTGTTGCAGAAATAGCAAAAGAAACTTTGAAAGGAAACATAAATAGACTGAGCATATTTTCTTGTCACTAGCTATGATATGTACATCTTTAGTTGTACAATATGTGTATAATGAATTACCCTTTTTAGGAGTTAAAAAAATTCTTTTCTAAAAATAATAGATCACTTCTGGGGGTTATATTTAGGTTTCCTGTTTTTACCTTTAGGGCTGAATCAACATTTTATTGAATTACAGATCAGGAGAGTTTTATTGATACTGAAAGAATGTGATGTTCCTATTTGTTGTTAACTTTCCTTTTTGTTGCTTTTCAAGGATATGTGACACTTTAATATTTGTCCTTCAAAAATAAAGTCTTCTGTATTTGTTCAGAGTACTTAAATTTTAAAATGACCAGGTTTTTAAAACAGTTGGAATTTGAAAAGGGAAAGCATGAAAGAGTTATTTTATTTAGTCCTAGAATGCTTTGTAATTACTAGCAATTGTATTGTACAACTCTGTAGTTTACAGAGCACTTTTATGTCCATTATCTCCTGTGATTTTTAATTGTCTTCCTAACATTTTTTATCTCTTAAGGTGAAAATTAAGACAGAGCACTGTCAATTCAGTCAGTGATTATAGAACATGCTTCAGTTTTTCCTTTTGATAATAGTGATTACCTGTACATCATTTGGAAAACATGGAAAAGTAGAACAAAAGGAAAAGCATCTTCAACATCTCATAATAACCATTGTTAATGTTTAATATAGTTCTTTTCAGTCTTCTTTTTCTATTAATATTTTTGCATATTTCCTTTCCCTGAGGATATGCAATATTTGTGTTCTTTGTAAATTCACACCTGAAGCATTACTGATAAAAATTTGTTCTTAACCATTTTTTTTGACACTTTCAGTAATTTTTTTTTTTTACTTTAGGTAAAACATTTTATCCTAGGATCATTATTTTATGTATGTCTGTCCATAAAGTAACCAGCCATGTAGTATGAGAAACAGAGGCATTTATTGAAGAAGATACAAGAAACATTGTACAAAAGGCAATGATGCCTCAGTCCCCTTGAAAGTAGGCACCTTGGAACCTCACACAAGTCTCCCAGTTACTATCAGCTGCCCTGTCGTATTTTCTTGAATCTCATCTAAGGTCTGAAATCTCTTCCCTTTCAAAGGTGATTTTAGTTTTGGGAAAAGCCAGAAGTTGCAGGGTGCCAAATCTGGGCTGTAGGGAGTCAGAGTCACCTGGTAATTTGATGTTTCGCCAAAAAACCCTACAGGAGATGTGATGAATGAGTGGACACATTGTTGTGATGAAGCTGCCAGTCACTGGTTGTCCACAGCTGTGGTCTCCTGACTCCTGAATCATCTGAATAGTTTCCACTGAGGACTGTCCAAGCTTAACACAAAATTTGATGCAGATTTGTAGCTCTACTCACTCAGTCATTTTGAACGTGAACAGCCACACAGTACACATGCTCACTCAATAGCGTCTACTGCTCCCACTGACTAGAACAGTGAAGTCATCATTGTTCATGCATGTGCGTTACAGTCCACTCTCCTTGGCTGCCAGGTTACATCAGTGTCATGCAAACTTCTTGATATATTAACAGTGGTTGGACATTTTCCAGAGAGACTGTGTATCTATCTATCTATCTATCTGTCTACACACACACACACACACACGCACGTACGTACGTACGTATGTTAAGAGCATGGACTCTGCTTGCCTTTACATCCCAATTCTGCTTCTTAGCTGTGCAACTATCATTTTGGCATCTGTGTTTCCTCATCTCTAAAGTTGGAATAATGGTCCCTATCTTCCCGTGGAGCAGCTGTATGTATATCTTAGAACCATATCTGACTCAAAGTAAGCACTGTCTAAGTTACCTAAAATTTTTGATCAGGGACTGCAATCACACTATTGACAAAAAAAATAGTAAGGATATAGAAAGTTGAATAACACAATGAAAAACTTAACCTAATATTTTATTTATATAACCTAAATATTTTATATTTGTATATACATAAACTTTACCTAATATTAATAAATGTATATAGAATAACATACCTAATAAGGATAAACATATTACCCACTTGCCAGGTTATAAAACAAGCCTCAATAAATATAAAAAGATTGAAATTCATTCACAGATGTCCTGTGACCATAATGGAGTTAAGTTAGAAATCAATAACAAAAGATGAGAAAAATCTTTGAAATTAAGCAGTGTACTTCTAAAAAACCCAAGAGTCAAATAAGTTACAAAGGAATTAGAAATTATTTTGGATTCAATAATAATAAAAATATATGTCATGTTAAAATTCGGGATATAGTTAATTCTATACCTATAGGAAATGTTACAGTTTAAAAACATATATATTAGAAAAGCAGAAAGGGCCAAAAATCAACAATTGAAATGTCCATCATTAGAAATTAAAATGATTGGGATTTCCTCCATCTCAATTTTGATGTCTTGGAGTATGCGGAAATATTAGTTTTTTTAAAAAAGATTTTACTTATTTATTTTTAGAGAGAAGGGAATGTGGGGAGGAAGAGATGGAGAGAAACATCAATGTGAGCGACAAACATTGACTGGTTGCCTCTTGTATCCCAGCGGAACCTGCAGCCCAGGCATGTGCTCTGACCAGGAATCTACTGGCGAGCTTTCGCTTTGCTGGACCAATGCCCAACCAACTGAGACACACCTATCAGGGTGGGAAATTTAATTTTACGGTTTTACATCAAATTCCTTTTTTTTTTTTAATAGAAGGAAAGGTATGGTTGATGCAAATAGGTTTAACTTTGTCTCCTATTTTGAACTCCCTTTTCCCCAAAGCTTGATTCCTAGTTTACTTGATTTCTAGGGGGCTTTATTTCAGTACGCTTTATGAAAACCTCCTATTTTCTTGGCCCTTCCATAGAACCTCTTAACTCTTCTAAGTAGAAACAGGCTTTCTGATGAAGCAGTGACAGGAATTCCAAGATGATCAGTTTTAGTTTCAGTAATAATTTAAAATTCTTTAAGGCTTGGAAAGTGTAATTCAAATTGATAAGTTTGTAATGACCACCTGTTATGGACCAGAGTCTGCCCAGACTTGGTTATATAATGATGAATAGTCCTGAGTTCTGCTTTTATGGTGCTTGTACTCTAATGAGGGAAACCAGCATTAAAAAAAGAACAAAACCACAAACCCACTCAGTTATGTGATTACAGTGTTACATTGGTGTTAAGAAAGAAAAGTTTGGAGGAGAGTGAATCAAGGGACCTAAGCTTATTTAATTTGGGTTCAGAATGTAGTGAGATACATAAATAACTGATTAAAATAAGGTGGGGAAATAGACCAGTGGAGAATCATAGAAAATATACTTATATTTTAAAAAGATGAAGGGATAAATCCTAAAATGTATTATTTTGATTACTTAAATAATCCACAGGTCTGAGTAATTATCCTTAGTCCAGTACTAACTAGTTGGATAGTGTTATTTAGGATATGGTTTAGTTCTCTCTCAGTGCTGTGTTCTACAGAATAAAAGTGCTTATGGCTAGATTAGATAATGAATGGTAAGTTCCTAGTTCCAAGGTGCTAATGCTATTGAAACTTTTATTAGGATGTTAAAGAGTATCTTCCTATGGTTGTGTAAACAATATGCATTATTTTTAGAAAAAATTGGAGAGTATAGGAAACTCTCCTCCAAATTTCATTTGTACTAGAGATGTCAGTTTTATTATAAATAGAGAATATATCAGGGAGTTTGACCTCCCCACAGTTCTGGGAGGTGTTAACAAGACATTATTAATCAGGGTAGGCTAAAGTATGTCTCATTAATAGAGAAAATTCACAAATTTCAGTGGCTTGACAGAGTGAAGTTTCTTACTCCATGTCCAGTTTGGGTTAAGTGGGCTGTTAAGATTAAGCCTGTCAGAGCGTTTACCATCTTGCAGCTATACCTCTGGATCACATGGCTTTCTTGGTTTCTGTGTAAGAGAACACTGGAAGGTCCTTTAACTAGAAATTATGTAACTTCACCAGTCAGAACTAGTAGTTCTTCTGTGTTGTTGGAAGAAAAGATCTGGCCATGAGTGAGCTTTAAAAAGTCTTTACATCAGTGACCTTGCTTTTCCTGGCCAAAATTGAGCGAGATTGGACCCCTGATCCACTTGTTTTGCCTAGGAAATTATTTTTGGGGCACTCACTGGAGGACCAGAGTTAGCATTGAAATGCTCAGCCCTAATTAGGCACAGAGGCTTTGCTTCTAGTCAAGGGTGATGGGATTCACATTGCTGGGCCATCAGAGGTTGATCTTTAGAGAGAAGAATAAATGAGATGCATTGCAGAAATAAGGTATTGTGTAGCTTTGAGGAGAAAAAAAAAAACTCTGTTGCTAGTGTTTAGTGGCTTTCCATTTCTTAGTTCTAGATTTTTAATGAAGGCTGTAGTTCCTGCACATACATAGATTTCTTGAGAATATATGTTTTCCGAACACATGGCATATTAAAAAAGGTGAGCATATTTTGTGCCACAAAGAAAATTAGCAGAGTTTTGAAAGCAAAAATCAAGTAGGTTATACTTATAATTTCTGACCAGAATGCAATAGAAATTAAGAGCAATAGGATGCCTCAGCCCCCACCTCAAACATAAATGTATAGAAAAAACAAGAACATAAACCCAAAACAAAAATACCTGTTTTTTCAGGGGAGAGGAAGAGACCTACCTTTTAAAAAGCTTAGAGCCCTTGCTGGTATGGCTCAGTGGATTGAGTACCAGTTTGTGAACCAAAGAGTCAGTGGTTTGATTCCCAGTGCAGGGCACGTGCCTGGGTTGCAGGCCAAGTCCCCAGTAGGGGGCATGCGAGATGCAACCACACATTGATGTTTCTCTCCCTCTCTCTCCCTTCCCTTCTCTAAAAATAAATAAATAAAATCTTTAAAAAAAAGCTTAGAAAGACAATGTAACTGAAGTCACACAATTTAGAAGTTAATTATGGTGAGAGTACAGCATATTAATGTAGCCAAAGTATAACTTTATGAGAAATTCAAATGAATTACATATTAATAAACAAGTAAGATTAAAGCTGAATGAACAAGGTATTCAGTTCAAGCTGATTAAGAGCTACAAAATTAACCCAAATGAAGTAGAATTAAAAAATTAATATAAAATCATACATTAATGAATAACAAAACAACTCTTCATCAGTACGTTCAAAACCTGGCAGACTCTGGGCAAATCTGACTAGGAAGAAAACATGCTAGAAGTAAATACTAAAAGGGAGCTAGAGACATTGCTATAAACACCAAGATGAAAGCCTTAGAATATTATATATACCACTCCTGTGAATTGGGTGAAATGAATTATTTCCTAGAAAAATATAAATTATTGAAGTTGATAAGTAGGAAAAAAAGCTTGATTATCGAGTAGCTGATGAAGAAATAGAAACATTGTCAAAGATGTATGTACCTTTTAAAAGGGTCAGATGTTTTTATAAGGCTAAAATTGATGGTTCCCATGTCACACATTTCCAGAGGAAAGAAAGAAAATGCAAGAGCGAAGGTGCTCTTCAAAGCTAGCATAACTGTCCCTCTTCTCAAGATTAATGTTGTTAAATGTAGAAAATAAAGTACATTGGATTACAAAGGAAGCCAACAATATTGAAATCTGTTATTAAAGTCATTAAAAATTTTTGGATATAGCATATATGTTCTTTTATTAACTCATTAAGTAACCCAGTGGTGGGTTTTAACTGCCCTTTCTTAAAAATAATGATAAGCAAAAATAATACTTTGAGTTTTCTGCAACAATGTAATTTGATAAAAATATCCAATTTCTTTTGGTTATAGAGCTACAGGTACTGCTAATACTACCTTGGGTTTTGCCTTTTCTCTTAATTAAATAATTAGGTTTAAATTTCAGTTAGAGGTTAGTGAAATCACAGATGTAATTTTTTTCCTAAGTTAATGGATCTCCTGACACTTATGAGAACTGCTGCAACTGAAACTTGCTTCACACTGGAGGACTCTAAAGTCTTTCGCGTTCCATTCAGGTGGTGGAATTTTCTCTTCCTGACTACTTCACCTTTGATCCTGGAGATGGGTTGTCCTCCTTGCCCCTCTTTGCTGCTTCCACAGCACTCTCCCTCCCACCTTACTTAACATCAAACAAAAAACATAACTTAGAATCTCCTCATCAGACAGTAGCACCTACTACTATTCCTTGTAGCATTCCATGGAACCTTGGCTTACTCTTTCTTTATGCCTCTCTTATTCCATGAAGATTTTCTCTTACACTGCTCACCATCTCCAGTACTACTTTATTCTAATTCTTTATAATCTCATCATCCATTTGGGTGATTCTTCCACTGCCTTCCTGGCTTTTGATTTCTTGACCATCTCCAGTGTCCTCCACTGTTCTTCATACTGCAGATCTTTTTATTATATGCATATTATTAAATGCTTATTATTTATTATAGTAACTGTAACTCCTTCCATAATTACAATTTCAAGTACCATACTCTCTAATAATCACTTGTTAACCTTTCCAGCTCATGTCTTCTAGTACAATCTTTTTTCCTCACTGGGACCTATAACCCATTGATCCTATTACATTTTCACTGTTTCTTACCACACTCCTCCTTATATTCTCACCCTTATTCAGTTTAAATCTTATCATCAGTCCTAAGTGTTCAGTTGCAAATATTTTCAACACCCTTTCCCACCCTACATTGCTTGGTTGGTAAAATTCCAGTGCTGGATAAATCCAGTTGTGCCTACTCTGCACTTTATAAAATATAAAGAAAAAAAAAGATTTCACTTATTTATTTAGAGAGAGGAGAAGGGAGGGAGAAAGAGAGGGAGAGAAACATCAGTGTATGGTTGCTTCTCATGCACCCCCCACTGGGGACCTGGCCCACAACCCAGGCATGTGCCCTGACTGGGAGTTGGACCTGCAGTCCTTTGGTTCACAGGCTGACACTCAGACTACTGAACCACATCAGCCAATTTTAACATAAAAACAATGTGCAGTTTTTATGTTAAAAAAATTCACATAAATTTACCCTCAAGTTTTCAAGTATACAGTACAGTATCATTAATTATGTGCACATTGTTGTTACAGATGACTTACAGAACTTTTACATCTTGCCTGACTGAAACTCTGTACCCATTGAACAACTTCCTGTTTCCCTCTATGGAGCCCCAGCCCCTGTCAGCCACCATTCTATTTTCTGTTACTATGAGTTTGATTACTTTAGATTCTGCATGCAAGTGAAATCATGCATTATTTGTGTTTTTGTGATTGGCTTTTTTCACTTAGCATAATGTTCTCCAGGTGCATCCATGTTTGTAGCATATTCCAGGATTTCCTAAATTTTTTTTCCCTTTTCTTAGGCTCTCTTGTGCCCCTCCAGGAAAGAATGGCCACTGTGAGGCCAACCTAAGGTCCTGATCCTTTCTCTCTCCTCATTACAAAAGCCACACGTGTGCAAACAAGTGCAGCTATGCAGAACTGAGAGATGGGAAAGTTAGATTTTCTAAATTTTTAAAGGTTGCATAATATTACATTGTGTGTATATACCACATATTCTATATATTTGTTTTTTAATATTTTTCAATTACATGTGACATACAATAGTATATTAGTTTCAGGTATGTAACATAGTGACTAGACATTTGTATAACTACGAGTACAAAGTGGTCACCCAGATAAATCAAGTATGTATCTGAATCCATATATAGTTATTACAATATTGTTACCTACGGACTAGCTCATTCATGTCTCATTTCCAGTCTTGATGTGGCTTCTTCTTAGTATCCTTAGTGTTTTAGGTACACTTCAGGCAGTTGTCAATGATGGCGGTCTGTAGTTTAGCTGTCATTTTGATGCCATGGGAGAAGATGAATAAATTGTTTACCTACTCTTGTCATCTTGACCAGAAGACCCTGTATTCATTTGTTGGTGGAGATGTAGATTGCTTCCACTTTTTAGCTATTTTGAATAATGCTGCAGTGAACAGGCTGTTCAAATATCTCTTTGAGATCCTGTTTTCAGTTCTATTGAATATATCCCCAGAAGTGAGATTGATGGATTACATGGTAGTTCTGTATTTTAATTTCTTTGAGGAGCTTCCGTATTGTTTTCTATAGCAGATGCACCATTTTATAAGTGTACCAACAGTCTGTCGCTTTCCAATTTCTCCCCATTTTGAAACACTTGTTATTTTCTATTTTTCTGATACTGGCTATTGTAACGGATATTAAGTGGTATCTCATTGTGGTTTTGATTTGAATTTCACTGATAATTAGTAATTTTGACTATCTTTCATATGCCTGTTGGCTATTTCTATACAGACATACCTTATTTTATTGCAGTTTACTTCCTCATGTTGAAGATACTGTGTTTTTTACAAGTTGAAGGTTTGTGACAACCCTGCATTGAGCAAGTCTGTCAGCTGTGTTTTCCATCAGGCTTGTGTGATGGTTAGCATTTTTTAGCAATAAGGAATTTTTAAATTAAGGTATGTATATATTTTTTAGACATAATGTTATTGCACACTTAATAGACTATAGTGTAAACATAACTTTTATATGCACTGGGAAACTAAAAAGTTTGTGTGACTCACTTTTTTGCAATAACCACTTTATTGCAGTGGTCTAGAACTGAACCTGCAATGTCTCCGGGATACGCCTGTATCATCTTTGGAAAAATATCTATTCAGGTTTGTTGCCCATTTTTAAATCAGGTTGGGTTTTTTTTGTTGTTACTGACTTGCAGGAATCCTCAATATATTCTGGTTATTAACACCTTGTCCAGTATATGGTTTGCAAATATTTTCTTTGATTCTGTAGGTTGTCTTTACACTATTTAGATTCTGTCCTCCTCTACACAGATGTTTTTAATTTTTTTTTTTTTGCCTTTGCTTTTGGTGTCATATCCAAGAAATTATCTATTCCAGTGTCATAAAGTTTTCCCCCTATATTTTCTTCTAGTTTTATAGTTTCAGGTCTTTTGAGACTTTAACCCATTTTGAGTTAATTTTTGTATGAGGTATAAGATAAAGATGCTTCTTCATTCTGTTACACTGTAGATACTCAGTTTTTCCAGCACCATTTGTTGAAGAGACTATCCTTTTCCCATTTTGTGGTATTGGCACCCTTACTGAAGATCATTTGACCATACTGGAAAGAGTTTATTTCTGGTGCCTTTTTTTCTGTTCCATTGGTCTATTTGTCTGTCTTTATGCTGGTGCCATAATTTTTTATTACTGTAGCTTTGTAATATGTTTTGAAATCAGGAAATAGGAGGCCTCAGCTTTGTTGTTCTTACTCCAAAGTATTTTGGCTATTCAGGGTCCTTTGAGATTCCACATGAACTTTAAGATGTTTTTTTCCTATTTATGCAAAAAAAAAAAAATGCCATTAGGATTTTCATAAGGATTGCATTGAATCTGTATACCACTTTGGGCAATATGGACATTTTAACAATATTTAATGTTTTAATCCATGAACACAGGATGTCTTTCCATTTACCTGTGTCTTTAGTTGTTTTCCAGCAATGTTTATAGTTTCCAGTGTACAAGTCTTTCACCTTCTTGGTTAACTTTATTCCTAAGTAGTGTGTTTCATTTTTTTAAGATTATTTACTGCCTTTTTTTAAAAAAAAGATTTATTTATTTTTAGAGAGAGGAAGAGAGGGAGAAAGAGAGGGAGGGAAACATCAATGTGTGGTTGCATTTCTTGCAGCCCCTGCTGGGGACCTGGCCTGCAACCCAGGCATGTGCCCTACATTGGGAATCGAGCTGGTGACCCTTTGGTTCACAGGCCAGCGCTCAGTCCACTGTGCCACACCAGCTAAGGCTCTATTTTTTTATATAAAAATTTCTATATTTCATTTACAGTTGACGTACAATAGTATGTATTTTGAGGTGTAGAGCATAATGGTTAGGCATTTACGTAACTTAGGAAGTGTTCCCCTCAATAAGTGTAGTACCACTCTGGCACCATACATAGTTATATTTTTTATTATATTCTCTATGATGTACTAATTTAGATCTCCTTGACTATTTTGTAACTGCCAATTTGTACTTTTTCACCCAGCCTCCTAACCTGCCTCCCATCTTGTAATCATCAGTTTGTTCTCTGTATCTATGAGTTTGTTTTTGTTTTAATTATTTTATTTTTTAAAGATTTTATTTATTTATTTTTTAGACAGAGGGGAAGGGAGGGAGAAAGAGAGAGAGAGAAACATCAGTGGGTGGTTGCCTCTCACACGGCCCCCCTCACTGGGGACCTGGTCTGCAACCCAGGCATATGCCCTGACTGGGAATCAAACCAGCAACCCTTGGATTCGCAGGCCGGCATTCAATCCACTGAGCCACACCAGCCAGGGCTGATTATTTATTTTATTTTAAGATTCCACATATAAGTGAAATAATATGATATTTGTCTTTCTCTGGCTGACTTATTTCACGTAGCATAATTCCCTCTGGGTCCATCCATATTGCAAATGGTTATCTCATTCCTTTTATGCCCAAGTAGTATTCTATTGTGTATGTATACCATGTAGTCTATATGCAGTTGTTCGTATATTTATTTTTAAAAGATTATTTTTATTTTTACTTATTTTTTAAAATTGTATTTTATTGATTATACTATTACTGTTGTCCAAATTTCCTCCTTTGCACCCTTCCACTCCACACACCTCCCACTCCCTCAGGAAATCCCAGCACCTTTGTTCATGTCCATGGGTCACGCTTTAAGTTCTTTGGCCACTCCGTTTCCTACTTTACAGCTCTGTGACTATTCTGTAACTACTAATCTGTACTTCTTAACCCCCTCACCTCTTCATGCATTCCCCCACAACCCTATTCCCATCTAGCAACCATGAAAACACTTTCTGAATCCATGATTCTGTCTCTGTTCTTCTTGTTTGCTTAGTTTGTTTTTTAGGTTCAATTGTTGATATTTAAGTATTTATTGCCATTTTATTGTTCATAGTTAACGATCTTTTTCTTAAGTCCCTTTAACATTTCATATAATAATAATTGGGTGATGATGAACTCCTTCAGTTGTTTCTTGTCTGGGAGGCCCTTTATCTGCCCTTTGATTCTAAATGATAGCTTTGCTGGGTATAACAATCATGGCTGTACATCCCTGCTTTTCATGTCTGTGTATTTCTTGCCAGTCCCTTATAGCCTGCAGAGTTTCTTTTGAGAAATCAGTTGACAGTCTTAGGGCAACTACCTGTAGATAACTACCTCCTTTTCTCTTGTTGTTTTTAAGATTGTCTTTATCTTTACCTTTTGGCATTTTACTTATGATGTGTCTTGGAGCGGGCCTCTTTGCATCCATTTAGTTAGGGATTCACTGTGCTCCCTGGACTTCGGTGTCTGTTTCCTTTACCAAATTAGGGAAGTTTTCTTTCATTATTTTTTTCAAATAGATTTCCAATATTTTGCTCTTTCTCTTCTCCTTCTGGCACCCCTGTGATGTCAAAGTTAGAATGCTTGAAGTTGTCCCAGAGACGGCATACATTATCCTGGTTTTTTGGAATCTTTTTTTCTTCTCGTTCTGCTTTTTGTTTGTTTGGCTTTTTTTGTTTGTTTTTTTTGTGTATGTTTAAAATCATTTATTTGATTCTTGGCTTCATCATTCTACTTTTGTTCTCTTGTAAATTGCTCTTTATTTCAATTAGTGTATCTTTTGTTTCTGACAATCTTTTCTATGCTGTTGAAGTCCTCACTAAGTTCCTTGAGCATCCTTGTAATGAACTCTGCATCTGACGGATTGCTTATCTCCATTATGTTTAGTTCTTTTTCTGGAGTTTTGTTCTTTCATTTGAGCATGTTTCTTTGTTTCCTCAGTTTGGCAGCCTCCCTGTGTGTGTTTCTGTGGAGTAGGTTGAGCTGCTGTAATTCCCTGTCCTGGTGGCATGGCCTAATGTAGTAGGTGTCCTGTAGGATCCAGTGGCACAGCCTCCCTTGTCACCCAAACTTAGGTGCTTGAGGTGTTCCCTTTATGTGGGCAGAGTACACCCTCCTCTTGTAGTTGATCCTTGATTGCTGTTAAAAATTCAGTGGGAGGGATGGATCCAGACCAGTCAACTGCAAGGACTGGCTGTGACCACTGAGCACCAACCTCTGCCCTCCATGGAGGATCAGCTGTTCAGGGGCAGGGTGGTGGTGCTCTGATGTGGCTATTAGCTGTCCCTAAGGTGTGCAGGCCCTAGGCCTTCCTGAATGGTGCAAGCCAAGGTCAGCCCCCACTTGTGTTTTGTCCAGGGCCACCCTGCCTGAGCTATAAAGCAGTGTGAGATGACTGCTACTTGTGCTGAGCTTGGAGGTTCTCAGGTGAAGTCAAGCTGTGAATCTAGGCTGGTAGGTGCTAGTGCCATGACTGGCACTACTTAGCAGGAGGTATGTGGGCTGGGGGCTCACTGACGTCAGCTGTTGCTTGTTTGAAAGGAGTTAGGAAGTTGTGAAGCATGAGTCAAGACCAGTCATTTATATGAAAAAGGTAC